ACCTATCATGCAAAATGCACTTTTTGATGTCTTTATACATAAATATGTGTCCCCAGTGTGTCGGGGAACTCACGCAGCGTCAGAAAAATAAAACCCTCTCTTTTCCTCCGTACCCAAATCTCTAAAAACGGGGGTACAACAAGCTGGTCCAGATTTGCGTCCGATCTGACGTAATATCGGTAATGTGGGCTGGCTTTACACCCGCGGCCCTATCAGAAACGTTGCTATCAAAAACAATGCCCGACTGTTTTGGATGTAATATGGTCTTTGTTTACATTAGCAAGCATCGCTAACACTCAGAGCTAACCTGTACTGGAGAGCATGTGTGTAAAGAAGCAGGATATAAAAAGGTACTCACCTTGTGGTGTGGTCTGGTATGGCAAGAGAGAAAGCCTTTGAGCTCCATACTGTTTCAGAAATAATCAATGATATGGCGTTTCGTCACGGCAGTGTTTAGCTAACAATCTGCTGGTAGAATCTCCGCATGAGCAGGCATAAGCTCCGCCCCCTCTTTTTTTTCTTTCAAAAAAACTTCATAGACATGTTTTTTATATATTTTCATATCTGAGAGCTGTTGCCTAAAAATAGCATGATAGGTGACCTTTAATAGTTTGACACTGTGACAAGAATTCCAAGGATTGTGTAAATATGTTTTTCTCTGTAATGTCTTACCACATTGATTTGCCTCTAACTTGCTTTTCTGTCCTCAGACAATACGAGGACTTCCTGGAGGACCTGGAGGAGGATGAGGCTCTGAGGAAGAACATTAACATCTACAGAGGTGAGGAGCCAAACACTGACGATCTCTAGACACTTGAGCAATTCTGTTGTTTCCTATTTTGCAGCTTAAATAGTTTAGCTCATTTGCTATCAGTGCTGCTTAAGCTCCCAATAGACGTAATGTCATAAGTTTATTGATGTGTTGGATAGTTAATGAAAAGAGGTTGATTTTGAATTTTAGATGCATCCAAGATCGCAGTGGAGAGCGACACTGACGAGGAAGGAGCACCTCGTGTTTCGCTGGCGGAGATGCTGGAGGAGCTCAGCCTGACGGATGCAACAGGAGAGGATGGTGCCGAAATGATGACGGAGTAGCCGTCCTACTCTGTCACTCACAGGACCGCTGATAATACAGTCACACACACAGAGCTGGAATAACAGCAGATTTAATTGAAACATCGACAACAAATGTGTCACAGAAAAATGACCAGCTCATCAGACTGATTTAATACAACAGTTAAATCCCATATATGTGGGTTATAATGATGCCACCTACCGCGGTAACAAATATATTTCTGAAGTACTCTTTCTTCATTTGTCATGAAATATTTTGAAGTGATATGGAAATGGCGTGCTTGTAGTTCACTATATCAAAATAAATATTTGTCCTAATGCTGACTTTTCATCGATTTTTTTTTTTCTTCCGGTTGGGGATTTAATAGACATTAGCTGGGTCCTGTGTTTAGTCAGATGGAAAAACACGTTACCAGCTGTGAACATCTCCTCCTTTGTGCATCCAAAAGCACATGTTTAAAAATCACTGCATACTCTGCTGTGATTATACTTTTTTTGTCACATGAATACCCTTCATTATTTATACCTGTGTAGACTGGTATGTATCAAGTTCTCTGCTCTACATATCCACCAGAGGGAACTCTAACAAAAGAGAGGTAATGCATTCAAATAGCCACACTTGTAGTAAGCCAGGCCGGGGTTTTAATAGCGTCATTTGGCTACGATGGGCATTATTCAAATACTTACCCAGCTGCACCATCTGTTCAGTGCTGTTTGTGCGGTCTCTGATGTTGGCTGATGCGAGAGAAACAAATTAGAGTCGAGGCTGCTCTGAGCAACAATGATGTCCTCAAATAATCTGACATGATGTGCAACTTGTTGCAGCCTAAGAGCTCATGTGAAAGTAGTTCCCAACTCCAAAAAGTCCCAAACACTGATATGCAAAGTCAAGTAGAAGATTCAGAATTTTCAAAATTACAGATTTAGATTTGGACATGAATATCCTTCCAAAGACAAATGACCTCACATTACAATTATGAAAAGGGGCTTTTGAATGTGGACAAAGTTGTTTATTCATGATAGTTACTATAGCAGAAATGTTTTTGAATGTTTTATTTGCTCTGGTAGTAGTTATGACATCGTGACCCTTAATATTTCAAGCTCATGAAGTGATTGGAGAATTGATTTTGAGGGTCCATACACATTTTGTTAGTACATTTGCATGGCGGTGCCTACAAATACAGATATGAGGCCGTGTGTAATTAAAGACACCAGAGGACTGTGTGTTCCAGAGAGAGTAAGCTGTTGGTCTGTGTGATATGTCTCACGTTCTAAATTAAAGAAGAAGAAAGTGGCACAGTTTTGTTTTTTACAAACCTGAGCTGGTTGTTCACAGTAATCAGATCTACTTGGGAAAATGAATTAGTTGAATCCCCTCTGGGTATGTGTGCGTGTGTTAGGGTAACAAGAACATAGGGGTTCTCGTGTTTTCAGATCACCCCTCTGTTGACCTAATTTTCTCACCATATTGCCACCGTAATGCTTATGATTGGAGCTTTGATTCCCAATACTACCTCAGCTACCAGGACCTGAGGAGACCTTGTCGGATTTGCATACACATTTCCAAAGTAGCCTACATATAGCGGAGCAGGACAGGATGGCTCATTCAAACACATTCAGATGTCTGCGAGGGGAACATTTTTCCTTTCAAATGTGTCTGGCTTTTTTTATCCAGTCTTCCTCTAAGAGACGCTGACAAAAATGCAGAGTGCATCCATGTGTAATCCTCAGCAGCACTTCCTGTGTTTACACATCAATAATACATAGTGCTGTCAAGTGCAAGAACTAGCCAGTTCAGCAAACCTTGAGCAGATGATAAGAGTTACCAACTTTGTCTCTGATGGTCCCAAAACACAAGGACACATTTTCAGCTCATACTTGCATTTCTTTTTCAGGGGTCTTTTCATTGTTGGTTTGCCTTATTGAATGGGTCAGTTTTTCCCAACACTTCTTTGGGCGGGACATTTCAAAAGAATAGAGTAAAGGTTAATATTTGATTGACACTATTTTCTTGAATCCAACTGTGCATTGACTTCTGATGATCTTCAAGCTATACAGCTGCTGTGAGTTAGTCAAATCAGTGGTTTGTGTGTAGCCTTATAATCTGTTAATGGATTGACTAACTGGTCAGATGCACACCTCAGTCACTTCTCTGCTCCTGAGCTGTTTTCAATATAGCATTACTTTGTGTGCACAATTCCATATTCAATCAAAATGTGGTGTCTCTAAAACCTATTGTAAACTAAAACATCTCTGGGCTGCAGGATGAGTGGATGCCAGTGTGATGTCTGGTCTGTTTTCACCCTGCTGCCTACGTCAGAGGTGCTGCTGCGGCGCAGTGTCCGGCTGCAGCATGGCGAAACACAAGGATGTGACACGGTCTGCAGAAAGTTAAAGATGCATTACAAACGTCAGATTTTTCACTGCTGAATTAGAGCTGCATCTAAAACAGCCACTCCTCCTTGTGCCTCTGAAGCTGGTTTCCTTTGGCCGCGTTCACACACACACACACACACACACACACACACACACACACACACACACACACACACACACACACACACACACACACACACACACACACACACACACACACACACACACACACACACACACACACACACACACACACACACACACACACAGACAGTGCTTTAGTCCTCGGTCACTCCACCTGCCTGGTGTGTGGACCAGGTGAGTCCAGGTGAGTGTAAGCAAAGGCAGTGGGTGTGGTGTTATTCTCACAGTCTGTATGACCTGCTACATATAGGCCGGAGGGAAACTGTTGAGATGGCTTTCAGTTTACACAAAGCAGCGGAGGGAATCGGGCTGCAGCTCTTCCTGTAATTGTCTCTGACAGTAGGGAGTCTCACGTCGCCTGCTAAGGTGAGTCAATATGGATTCAGTTATACACAATACAAACTACACACTCAAGAGCTGATACATCCCCTTTAATATTCTGTATTATAACAATAAATCATATGAGAAATAGTAAAGGAATGTCTTTGTCATTGTGTAAAATTACCTTATATATCTTAATAAAGGCAGGTCATTACTCAGATTAAATTATCATCAAACTTGTTTTTATTCTAATATTTATGTTAAGGAAGATCATTTGGTTGGCAAAAGGGCATATCGGTTTATTTGAGGTAAATACACCTGCACTGCACACCTGTTGGTCCCGCTACCTTAACCTTCAATTAAACAAATTGTCCTGAACAGATTCAGAACATGGAAAAGGATTAATTTGTACACTAATTTAAATCACAACAAGTGAGCGTTTTTTTTCTTCTTCCTGTTTTCGCCTGTGCATTTCATTTTTGTGGGTGATGGAGAAGTATTGCTTCTCCTCGGATAGCATAAACTCATTTGCAAGGTCCCCAGGTGTGTGGTAACACCTGTATGCTTATGTGTGCCAAGAAAACATTGATGACTGTTAAAAGTTCATATGGGAACATTACGTTATATTTAACTTTTTCTTTTAAATAATACTATTGCTTTATTTTGACTTTGTATGGCATATTTTATGGCATAATTAACGTTTTATGACATAGTGTATTATTAAAAGTTTATTCGTGTGCTATTTCTTTTAAGACAATTACATTATTTATTTTTGTATAACCGTTTTTATTACAAATTATTCTATGTATTTTTATGATATACTTCATTATGACATTTTTGTTGACATACCATACTATGACTATTGAATGTCATAATATACTAGGTTTTTGTGATACTATGACTCATACTATATATATGTGCTTTTACTTTTTTAGGGCGTAAAAGGCGACTATACTTGTATTCACTCTCCTCCAAACCTTCTCCCTCAGCTTCACCACTGTGTTTTTATCCTTCTTCACATCTCTTTCTTACGGCCTGAATCTCACAACATTCCTACTCCATTTCTCTTCCGTCCATCTTGCAAGATGAACTTAAGGGAGTACCTGGCCTGGCTGTACTACCAGTACCTGCTCATCACCGGCATCTATGTCCTGGAGCCCTGGGAAAAGTCCATCTTTAACTCCATCCTCTTCTCCGTCATTACCATGGTGATCTACACCTCATATGTCTTTGTGCCCATCCACGTGCGGCTTGCGCTGGAGTTTTTCTCCGGGATCTTTGGCGGGCAACCTGAGAGCACCATGGCACTCGTGAATTAAAACATAAAAAGAGGTTGCGACTGGGTGGATTAGAAATAATTCCTTAAAACTCAACTCCTTATCTCCCAGAGCCCCTTGAGCACCACGTTCACCCTGAACCTCAGCAAGACTGAAAGCGTGAAGATCTTAATGAAATCATCTGGAAATCATAGCCTTATTATCTTCTTTACATCCAAAATCCTCCTTACCCCATGGTATTAGACAAACGACTGTACATTACTTTCACACCCTCCCTGTGAAATGTCTTGTGAAATGTTGTTTGTCCTGTCTGTTTTTTTGTCAAATGTTTTTGTTTGAGTGTATGCCACCTCTGTGTTTTGCATGATAGGGTCATACATGGGTCGGGTAGTATAATTTGCATGCTCGTTTCACTATTAAATACCACTCGACTCTTTTCCTTCCATCATGACTTTAGCGCTAGTCTTTAAACAGATATTCCGGAAATGAAGTTTGTCACATAAAAAAAGACAGAGTGGTTAGACCAGCATAGACCAAGATATCCTGAGTTTTAGTCTCAAGTTAAAACACTTGATCCCACACAACCCAAAATGCAACTCGATAGGGTCTTATGACCTTCCCTGGCTGTCTAATACCCACATCTTTTGGATGTGTCCAAATCACTTTTTTTTTATAAACGGCATTGCATGTACTCTTTCTGCCGTTTGATAGTGTCTGAATTTGGAGTGTGAAATATATGCACTATTATATCACGCCCTCAACCGTTCCAACAGTGAATCAAAGAAAGTAAACGTTACAATTTCAACACCTTATTGTTAATTATATAAGCAGTAATGAAAAGTGGGGATGGAGGGTCATTTCAGACAAAGCCTTGGAAAGAACCCTTTAAGAGCCACAGAAAGCATTGAAAAAAACTATTTAGGCTGAGTACTCTGTGTGACGAGTAAACTGAACTTGATGTGTACAATTGGTGGGGTGCCTCTCTAAGTTTCCGTGAATATCTGTGTATCTGCTGCATCTGTGATGCAATGTTATACCTGGTATACATTTCTATCTGATATAAGAGAAGCCACTCATCCCAACATTTGTTCACATGCCCTTAATGTAAATGGTTGATCCACGGTTTTGTATCAGAGCCTCTATCACCCTTTATATTTGCTTTTATGAACTGGAATGCTAATTGGTAGGGTATATTCAAAACGTCAAGTCACTATGACCTGATTTTTAAATTCAAATGAACTCAACCACAATGTTATACAAAGTTGTAATGTTTCCCTATTTACTGGTTAAAGAGAGAAAAAAATCAATTAGCGCAGATGTGTGCCGAGCTCTCCTTTATCTGCTGTTTTATAAATGTTGGTATGTCAGGAAGGCGTGCTCTGCCCAAAAATGAGCAAATATTGACTCAACATACCTTTTTGTTTTAAAGGCTTGATTTTGTTAATGATATAACTTGACTTAATCCTACAGTCTCAGCCCCTGAACTCAAAGCAAAACGGTCTGCTATCACAAGCAAACTAAATACAAATATACCTGAATCAAAGCCTGACTGCTCAAATTCTAAAACCGTCCTCCTCACCTATAGGAGGATCTGAGTGGACGGAGAGAGAACAAGACGTTGTTTATGTGGTAGTTCTGATGAGCATTGCATTTATTTGTGTGCTTTACATAATCTGAGATAATGAATGCTTTGGGTCTGGGGCTCGCTGATTACAGTCTAATATGATCTCTATGTTAACTATTTATATGGCTTTATATATTTATACACACTGGTAAATGCTTGGCTGGTTACAATGTCAATTACCAAACATTTTGTCATAGTTTATATCTGTGTTATCTTGAGGCCATCAATAAAATGTACTTTATTTGTTACTTTGCTTTTATATTGTTCCAAGATTTTGTAATTTCCTTTTGGTTTTATTGAACACTTGTAGTTCCAGACATTTCCTGTACCAAGAAGGTGGAGCTTTGTGATTGGCCTTTTTCCTTGTTCTCCAAAATTAACATTTTATTTATATATGAAAGCAACATATCACAGCAATATTCAGAAAATAAAGATATTTTAAAAAATTGAACAATTGCTCTCTTTTTCCTTTTACTTTGGGTTTTAATATGAATGTCTGTAGATACAGTTTTGAAAGCAGAGTCCGGTTCGTTGCCAATGAAGAAGAATGACATTTGATTATAATGGTGTATACATCTACAGCAAGATACATTCATTTTTAAATAAGAGCAAATATAGAAATATAACAAAACTGTTCTTAAAGGTATTATATAAATAATGTTTAGAAGATATACAAATATATAAAAGGGAAATACTATAACAATATGAATCCAAACCTAAAAAAATATGGGTGAAGGTGAAGAGCAGTGCAGATGTAGTCAGAGGTATAAGATAAGATAGGTACTAGAATGCATAAAAACAACAACAATAATAGAAAGTAAAACTAAGAGTAGGCGGATTTACATATATACAGATAACAGTGAAGATAATTCCATAATATACATGATAGCATGTGCAAGTGGGAGTACAAGTGTTATGTACATATTATATACACAAGGTATATATTAATGCAAACATATTAAGTCTGTTATGCCTTTAGTCAAACACAACAGTTACTTTGAAATACAAGAAGAAGCGGAACAAAGGCTTATGGCACAATCCCGACACAATTGACTGTGCCACATGAAGTGATTTAATACAAAATCCACCAAACTAGTTCTCCCAACACAGTGCAGGACCGAATACCCAGAGGCTTTGCTGTCCCTGCTGCAGACATAGGCAACCTGCCCACAAAGCTCTGTTTACCTCAAGCCTAGTCTGACCACAGATACAATGAAATCAATGGGATGATACGTTCTTTATCTTGTTGTGCCTCTCTTCTCTTCTCCCTTCATTTGCTCTACTTAAATGATGTTCCCTCCTTCTGTCTTTAATCTCTTTCCACTCCCATGCCCATCTTCCTGTTTTCTGTCCTTTCCTCTCCTCCTTTCATTTGTTGTATTCCTCTTGTTTTCCTCTCCTCATTTTATTTCTTGTCCTTTCTCATGTCCTTGCCTTTTATTCCTTTAAACAAATCAAAGTCCTGCATTTTCCAATGACATCCAGTGCATTTCGGCCTCAGTGACTTTGAAGAACTGTCCTATCAAGAACATAGTTCTGTTTACACTCTTCATGTTCATTTGTATCTCATGAAGGAAGAGGCCAGAGGTTATCTCCGTAAGACAAGGTGTAAACAAAGCTATCTGCTGACTCAATTGCTCTCACAACACTCAGAGCGGTGTGTTATGTTTCTGTTGTCTTTACATGTAGCCTGTGACCATTTTCCAAATATAACTGGGACAGACTCTCAGCAACTAACAGAGTGAGAGAGAAATGTGTTCAAATAGTAAAACAGTCCTCAGTTTTGCCTTACACAAACACAGCTCTCAACTTGTAGATGATCCTCGAAATAATGTTTGTGATCATATTTGTGTATTTAATGATTAACAATTAATGAGATGGGTACTTGTGTTTTTTTATTCTACAACACAGACTCTTCTTTTATAACTTACTTTTTATAAAGTGCCATAATATTACATTTGTGTCATTACATTTTCAGGCTTTTCTCTTGAAAAGCTTTAGGAAACATGCAGTTTACATATTTTATGGACAGTACAAAATAAAACAAAATATAATGTTTACAAAGTCAACTGTTGTGGAAGTCTTCACACCAGGAAAATAAAAAGGTTTTATTCGGATTTGGTTTCATGTATTGGGTGTTTATAGTAAAACACATCATAATGACAATAGCAGTACAAAAATAGTCGGCGCCTTGTATTTATTTATAACTTAATTATCTGCTACAGCATGCGCCATTCAATAGCTGTATGACGCAAAGGTGTGATTCATTGTGAAAACACATGTTGCAATGATTTGGTTGTTTTCAAGTCACTAGTGAGAATATCTGTAACATAAAAACTCCAATAAAAAGAAACAGGACAAAAAATTACCCTGCCATTAAAATATGATATAATGTTATTTAATTGCTTTGTTTGAGTGAGCATTGTTTGCACTGTTGGGTGTGTGTGTCTCTGTGTTTCTGTTTCTGTTGCGGACCTGACTTCGTCATACACTCTTTTAACCATATTTCCCTTTTAAGAAAAGGTAATTTAATAAGTCTTGTACGTGGACATTTTTATGAATACATAAATACATTTTCCCATCAACTTTATTTCAAGAATACTCTATTTGCAAAGAAAACACATTTTATATTTGTCTTCCTTAATGATGGATTTCTTCTTTTTCAATTGAAACTCTTCATGTACAGGGTAACACAGAGGCTCTCAGCGCATTGTTGGAAAATCACTGGGCAAACAATTGGCATATATGGACACAATGGTCCAAGTTGTACCTTGGATTGTGAATGTATTCAGGATCACATTATGGTTTGAGGATCATTTATGTTGTTGAATTGTTCTGCTGCATGTCAGCACCAGATTATCTCTAGACTGATCTCTGTGCAATCAGACATGGTTTGTCCTGTGGCATTTAAAGTGAATGCGCAATTATGGCCATTCTTTGTTGATCAAAGATAGAGAAATTATTCACCTCATGACACGGCTCCCAGTGCCACAGTATATCTTAATTATGAATGACTCAATATGAAACTGGGAGTGGTTGTCCAGATAAATATCTGAGCCAAACCAGGCGTTGATCAACAGCTGGAGGAGCAAAAACCTGACATGGACACTGGGTATGTTGTGCTGGGTTTGGTCCTCATTACAAGTTGGTAAAGAGCAGTGTAGCTTTATAAATATCTGCTCCCAAAAAATGTGTGTTAGAGAAACATCTTAACCCTCTGGATAATGTGAATTGTAAAGGTTTGAGCTGATACATGCAGGATCTTTGTGTTTACATTTTAGACAAGTCTGCCACCAAGTGGACAAGTAAATAATCTTTTACCGAATGTAGTACTAAGTGAAGAAAAACATCATCACAAACCTCTGAATCAAGTACAGGGATCACTTCATTATTCATAATGAACGCTTTTCATAACAATATTCACATACAATAGTAAAAACACTTAATTCCTAAAAAGTATGTGCTCCTAGTTCAATATGGTAATGCAATGCTGAATTTAGATTTGGAGTCACTGGGTCACATGACATAGAAGCAATTGAAACTTTTCTTGAATTGTATTGTTGTACAATCAAATCATGACATATTAAGTGTGCCAGGTAAGACACGTTTGACATTTTTCGCTTGTTCTTTGCTAATTGAGGCAAGTTAGTTCGGGGTATTGAAATAACATTATTTGTATATTTGTCTTCAAAAGGTAATTTATTGATGATCCATAAGTAAACCTTGTGTTAAAGAATGAGGACACTCAGATCTGGACTTGTTGAATGTGAGGAAAAAGACGCAGACACAGTTTTGTTAAAACAGCAAATATCCAAGTACTGTAAGGTTAGGCGGAACTCAATCCACATTGAATTACAAGATTAAAGTTTAATTTGATCTAATCTAATCAAATCTAAACTGTTTAAGTAATGGAATGTGGAACTAAATTAACAATGAGTTACAGAGAAACACAATATATGTTGATTCCAAAACAATAGCAAATGATATTCAAATAAAAAACGATGGATCTATTTTACATTTTAATATCCAACATTGATATGAGTTTGTTTGACTCCCTAATACAGCTCTTGCTCTTTTTTCCTCAACCAACATTGAGGATTTTTCAGGGAAAGTGTGCCAAGAGAAAATGTTTTTGTTCTCTGCCTGACTACATGAGACGAGTCTGCCAGCAAATCTCCTGCCAATATCATTAGTCGCTAATTCTGCAGGATCTAGATTTTCTTTGATAAGATCCCAGAGTAAATCACAAAAACTGCCTACTGGAATAATGATAATGAGATTGACGGGTTGCTGTGTTGGTTACTAAACAAGTCTCTCTTATGTTCTCACTCTCACATATTCACTGCAGTTTCAAGGTCTCCTTCAGTTGAATAGGGTTAATGTAAGGCAATACTCCTCCATCCATCCAAGTCATCTTAGGTCCTCTCTCTGCTCGGCTGCACCTCAGAGTAAGTTAACTCTTAATGCTCCCCCACGCTGTATAGTGTGCGCTGATGGAGGCCGAGGGCAGAGCCGTAGACAGTGTTAAATGAACGGACAGGTGAGCGGCGTCTGGGTCCTCTGTGACCAGCTGGGCTCTGTAAGCTGACCGTTGCTGTTGTGTGTGGCGTGAATGGAGCTGAGAAACGACGGGGTCGAGGTCGGGCATGGAGAACCCCAGAGGAACCCCTCTCCCAGGACTCAGCTGCATATCTTACATCTGTTGTTTTTTTGTGGAGGGGTAAGTCAGGGACACTTCACCTGAGCTGCTGGGAAGGAGGGAGAAGAGGAGCATGTAAATGGAGGTGAGGAGGTAAATGGGTAAAAGTATTATGTGAGAGATAAAAAATGGTTTAAATAAACACCATCTTCTCTTATTTAGTAGCCCTCATCCACCATCACCCCTCTCTGTTTCCCAAATTTCATTTCCCTTCTTCCTGCTCACTCATAGCTGGACATGGATCCCTCTAAGGACGTGAAGTCTTTGACAACTGGGGCATGTCCACCGCTCAAACATTCATTCACTGGCCAGTCAGGAGTTTCGACCAGAAAGCTACCAGAAAATCACGTTTCTGATGCTATCTTGTTACTCCTTAAGAATGAATCATTGTCCAGAGACACAGTATGAATCATAGTTAGCAAATGTAACTGCCAGCATTCTTAGGGGCTCATGTGCAAAAAGTCGGTAACAGTGATCAGGCAAGCATTTCATCGGCACTGATTTAAAGTAGATAAGCTGGTTTCTTTGACAACCAGCTCAGCTTTAGCAACTGTTGAATGAGGAGATTATCAGCTGCTCTTAAGGCTAAAGCTTTCTCTTGGATGTTTACCAAGTGCCAGTAGATTGGAAATACTGAGTAGTTAATCATTTTAATGTATTGCTGCATCTTTTGTATATCTTTCTTCTCAAACGCCAACTTGCACCATCCACATAAAATATCTTTAAAAAATGGTTTGCATGTACTTTCCTGCACAATACTGTCCAAATCTATGCTTGAAAAAAGGTTGTTGTACTGCCCTGGCCTCTGTCACAGAACCCTCTTTGCTTGGCTTTGTCCCGCCATAAGAGCCTGGGTAGTAGGTTGGGTGTTGGAGGAATGCCTCTCATATCGGGTGACCCATTGCCCCACGGCCTTTGCTCCTCGCCTAGCTTGCAGCGAGGGAGTGCTCCTGGCGGGCGCTATATCCCGTGTCACAAAAGCACCTTTCTACACAACAGGGGTACAGAGAATGGGCCACAGCACTGTGGTTCTTCTTGGGTCCGCTCCAGCCCGCTGTAGGTGGATTTCAGACCTCCCCTTATGCTCCCAGCAAACACCCTCATTGGTAGGGATGTTCTTTCGCCCAAGCCTGGCAGAGATATCAGAGGGACCTGGAGCTACTGCTACTGCCTCCAAGCCACCGCTAAAGAGGATAAATGACCATACCACTTATGCATGACTGGGTGAGTCTTATACATTTTCAATATCAGCAGTATGGGTTTACCTTAAAATGATTGATTTATGTGTAAAGAATTGCATATTCAAGTTGAGGAGCATGCTGAATTTGATAACAATGCATGTTACTATTGCAATTTTTTTTTTTATCACATTAGCTGAATTTACTGATAAACAGACATACTTCAGCTTTGAAGGGTTAAACTACAGACTTGTTGAGTCGAAATGACACATCACTGGAACACATCCTGAAATTGGCATAAAGAAACAGAGGAAATTAAGTTTAATTGCATTAACAATATTGAAAATCAATTATAGTAGATAAGATAATTGTGCTAGGAGTTTTGCACTAGTGAACTGCTCGTCAGCATGTGCTATTTTTGTATCCTCTTGTCTTTGAAATTGATCGTGGATGAACAATTAAATGGGTGCAGACGAACAGAAGGTAAGAGTAATGTAGACTATAAACTCATCTGTTCTCAGATCCCCGTCAACCATGAGGATCATCTCCTGTCAGTCGAGCCTTGTGGCTCTAGTTGTGGTTACACTCACTGTGGTGGGCTGCACTGAAGCGAAAACTACACAGAAGCCAAAGTATCAGTACACCAAGAAACCCATCCCTCAGATTACTGTGCACAGCCCTGTGACCACCAGCGTGCCCAAGACTCTCAAAGTAGTGCTGAGTGCAAAGCCTGTGGTGCCCACCACAGAAAGGACCACCTACCAAAATCATGTCCATCCACAGTACCTCACAGAGAGCACCGAGCCCCCTGGTGCTGGCCCTGAGAATTACACTCTAGATTACAACGAGTGCTACTTCAACTTCTGTGAATGCTGTCCACCTGAGAGAGGCCCCAGGGGGCCAAAGGGAGGCATAGGCCTACCAGGTAAGACACTCAATGTTAAGGTGCAATAAAGAATATTTGTTTTGATTTATTCAGTTCATTTGTTTGTATGTTTAGCTTTCAGCATTTCGGACTTTGACTATGTTTGTTTATATAGGGCCACCAGGTGACAAGGGTTTTACCGGAGCAGCTGGTTTACCTGGACCCCCGGGAATGAGTGGTCCTATCGGGGTAAGAGGAGACAGGGGTGAGTATAATTTGGCATCTTAGGCATTTATTGATGTTTAATCATGTTTAAAAGTCTGACACTGAGGAGCCCCATGTCACGTTTGAAAACCTCTTGTCTAATTACATGAACTTTACAAACATGTCATCATATATTTCAAGAATGCAGAAAGCAACCATAATGTTATCATATAGTATAACACAATGGGCCGCTGGGCTAATGTTCACAGGTGCACTAACGTCACTAGTTAAAAGGAATATTCATATTGCTTGTTAGACTTTTTTTTTTTAGGTCTTAGCTTTATTGTGTCCATTTCTTAGGAGATAAAGGTGACAGAGGAAGCAGTGGGATAGTCGGGCCATCAGGAATCCCAGGAAAACCAGGACAAAAAGGTGCAACCTTGTTCTGGTGATTGTTGAATTATGTTACATTGTCTCCAGATATCAACTGTTCTGACAGTTCCTCTGTGTTGCAGGTGATATTGGCTCAAAAGGTGAAAAAGGTGTAATAGGGTTCCAAGGTGTCAAAGGTGAAAATGGGGTGAAAGGGGAACCTGGACAGAATGGGACAGCTGCTGAAAAAGGAGAACCGGGAATTAAGGGCCCAGCTGGCCCTTCAGGACTGACTGTTGAGAATGGTCCTAAAGGAGAGAAGGGGGATAAGGGGGACTGCGGCACATTTGGGGAGAGAGGACAGAAAGGTGATCGAGGGGATACCGGCTCTCCTGGCATCCCAGGAGCCATGGGCATTCCAGGACTGAATGGCAAGCACGGTGTCTCAGGTCCTGAAGGCATCCGAGGGGAACAGGGACCTGTTGGACCGCAAGGAGAACCAGGGTTTCCGGGCCCTCAGGGACCCCAAGGCATAAGAGGGCCGCTTGGACCAAAGGCGGACAGAGGCTGGCCTGGGATGAGAGGTGATCGGGGCTTTCGTGGAATCAAAGGAGCAAAGGGATCAGCAGTACCCACGAAACGCTCAGCCTTCAGTGTAGGTATCTCTCCAAGAAAGTCCTTCCCTCCGTCTGGCTTCCCGATCCGCTTCGACAAAATCTTCTACAACGAAGAGAACAACTTTAATGTCACTTCCAACAGCTTCACCTGCGTCCATGCCGGGGTTTACGTCTTCTCTTTCCACATTACTGTACGCAATCAGCCCCTGCGAGCCACACTGGTGGTGAATGGGTCCCGGCGGGTAAGGACTCGGGACTCTCTGTACGGTCAAGACATCGACCAGGCGTCCACTCTGGTGGTGCTGCGGCTGGCGGGGGGGGATCAGGTGTGGATGGAGACATTCAGAGACTGGAATGGGGCTTATGCCAGCAGTGAGGATGACAGCATCTTCTCTGGATTCCTGCTGTACCCAGACACACCCTGATCCTGAGAGTATCTTCTTCTAGAATCTATGGGACCAACTTGATTCCTGCATAGGAAAAATACTAGTGGTGCTACACTATATTATTACTATTGAACTGCTGGAAAGCTGCACTGCACACCAGTATGAACATTTAATGACGGGCAATATCAATATAATGTTTATTATACTCACCTCAATATTATATTTTTTGTTTTAAGCCGTTACCCTCTAAAGAAAAAGAACGAAGTCTTGTTTATTGCTGGAATATTTACTTACATGTTTTGAATCTAAAAAGGTTATTTAGTTGTAAAAGGCAAAAATCACATACTATGGATCAGCCTATGACAAAGGTAAATAAATGAGAAAGTGCCAATATTCATCATGGATGGAAATCTGGATCAGGGTTATCACAAATAGAGCACTTAAACATCTATACAACCAAACTATCTGATGGTAAAAGAAAAAAAAACAAATCCACATGATAACATTTTCATTTATCAATATGCATGTCAAACAAAAAAGCTGTGATAAATATGCCAGCAGAAAGAGAGAGAGTGTGCAGGAGTCAAACATTTTTTTAATTCAAATGTTTCTTGCCACCAATATTATGTATTCATGTGTGCATATATGTTTTTCTGTTTAATGAAAAACCTTGACTCTCTTCAGTCACTGCACAGAGTTTCTGAACACAATATGTATGATTTATTATGTCAAAGTGTTTAATGATGGTTTACTCGCAGTTTTGGCCTCAGTGAAACGACACGTCCCCATGTCTCCTTTTCCTCCACATCATTTATTTTTTCCTGTCCTCCTCTTTGTACATTGATGTTTTTGTCGAACTATACTCTGCTTCCTGTCCATTTAAATTCTCACTGGTGAACTAAGCTATTTATCAAATTGCAAAAAAAAGACATACAAATAAACAATGTATGTGTTTAATATGAAGATAATATAACTGTGAGCTGTATTATTATTACTGTAAGTTTACTATATATGTTATTATACAAATACTTGTAATATGTAAGCAGCATTGCTGTACAATAGGGTTGTAAAAAGAGTTTATTGATAATAAAATCCAGTAGTACATACTGTATGATTTATGGAATGCTTTATTTGCTTATACCAACATGACAACAGTTTTTATTACGAAATCTACTATGGAATATCATCAGATTCTGCAGAACCACCACGAGATTCTGCAGAACCACCACTAGACCACGGTACATCTGATTCTGCAGACGTATCATCAGACAATTCCTCAAATATATCGACAAGAGCAGGAGTTTGGCTGAGAGACTGGACTGTAGATTGCAGAGTGCTTGGTGCTGGCTGTGAAGGCTTCGGCGCTGGACTTGAGGTTTGGATACTGCTCACTTCAGTAGGCTCAGTAAAAGTAGGAGTTTGAGTGGATTGGTGAAGGGAGGCCTGGGCTTCTGTTGGCCCAGCTGCTGGAGGCCGGGAGGTTTGTGGGGAGGAGATTGAGGGAGCAAAGGGCCTTGAGTTTCTGGGACGAAGATCTGGATGCAGCATAATGCCTGGTCCTATTGGATCAGAGACATGAGAATTCACTCACAATTCAACGAGAGGATTACTTCTCAAACTTAGATTTGTGGACACACAGAAGGTGCTTTGACATCTAAGTACCTTTCGCTTGTTCAAAGCTTTTAAGTTCACTCCACCTGGAGATGCCCAGCACAGGCACCTTGGCCCTGCAGCTGTACTGGCCAGGAGTCCGTCTAACCAGATCATGGTTCTCAGAGGTTGCTGTACCCAGTCGGTTGTTGTTCTTGTAGAAATAATAGTTTATTGGAGGTGCAGGAGCATGAGCGTTGTATTGGAGGTGGCAGATAAGCTTCATTTTGTTAGCTGGAATCCGGTCACTGTCTGCAACAATCTCCAAAACTGGCAGTGACAGAACATCTGAGATAGGAGAGAAGAAAAATACATTACTGACACATTCAAATGGGTTGAAAGAATAACTGGAGAAGAGTTTGTTCCCCATTGTATGATCGTTTAACAACTAATAAGGGCATTTTCAAAAATGTCGAACAATAGTTTAAACATTTGCAACCACAACCAAACTCAGCATATGTAACCCAGTGTATAAACTCACCTAAGATCTGCACTGAAGCATCAGCTGAGATAACAGAGTGCGTGCGTCTGTCTATGTCCCAGGAAGCCCTACAAGAATACACTCCTTGTTCCTCGTGGGTCAAGTTGGTCAGGTAGAAATATGGGTTGAGGCCATTTTGTCTCATTACTTCAACAGCATCTTTGTACAAAATCACTTCATGCAGTGGGGGTTTGCCTCGTGCGCGACACATTACCTTTAAAGTGTCACTGACGAGGCTGGGCTCTGGTGGGACTTGTAGGATAACCCACCCTCCTGAATGAAGAATGCAGAAAAATAAAGTTACATCCAAGTATCATCTGGTGTTGATATTAACAGCAATAAAACAAGCTAATGTCAGCGGGTTAAAGTTGACCCTTAAATGCAAATGTGTCTTAAAAGGGTTTTCTTTTCTTAAAATAAACACACACAACATTTTAAAAGAAGTTGAGCACTGCAAGAGTTTAATGTTTCACAATTTTCAAAGTTTACAACATCAGCACAAGTAGGAAATAAAATAGCTTAAAAGAGGAAGAAGGGGCATGATGTGTTAATCAAGGGATTTCTAATGAAATGATACCAAGGTTCTTACCATCCACATTGATCTCCAATGGCAGACTTTGGAGGGTCATTATGTCTCCCACTTGTGAGTCCCTCACTCCCTTGCAGTAATATTTCCCACTCTCTTGAACCTTCATTTTCCACAACACAAGGTGTTGGCCACGCTGTGGGAGCTGCTCAGATCCTCTGAACCACAGGTGGCTCCAGGAGGATCGGACATCAAGAACACTGCATTTCAGCTGGACACTCTCTCCGGAGAAGATCCTTGAATCCCCTGACACCATCTCCACGACAGCTCTGAACGGGGCCTCAGCTATGGAGACAAACACATATGGGATTTTTAATGAGAACTGTCATAAAAACATATATATATATATATATATATATATATATATATATATATATATATATATATATATACCTGCAGTGTCTTATTATGATTATTATGCACTGTTCATATCATGTTCTAAAGTTCACATGTCTTTTCAGTGTTGATATACTAGTTTGTACAGGATAATGCTCATAGTCAATTCAAACAATGCATTGATAAGATAAGAAAATAATAATAAAAAGACGTGAGATGTGAGACCTGGTGTGAATCAATAACTCACCTTAACTTTTTCAATAATGTTTTAGTATATATTGTTTTCCATGTAAAGAAAACATGTTATTCTTGCATTTGTTCAAAAATGTTTATGAACTTGACAATACATTTCTATACACGTTCTATTCAGACAGTATGCTTGCAAATGTTGACACTATGTGATGTGATATGTATGCCATATTAACAATTCACTGATAGGAACATGTGGTACATACCCCCAAGTTGTGGTAGCATCGAGAGAACTGAAAAAGAGAAAAAAATCAGGCGTTAGACAAATCAAAGTTGATAACAATCTTTTAAAAACATTGTTACATTTGAGATGTTGCAAATGAACTGAAGAAAACTCACCACAGAGGAAAATGACCGGGTTCATTTTGATGGCTTGTGAGAAAAAGGCTGGGAGGGAGATTGTTTTATTTCCAGTGGAGAGGGAAGTGAAAATGAGTTTTTTTTTTAATCAGCTTAAACATGTCACACAGGATATCCCCATTTTCTTTAATTAACACTTTGGCAAAGGATTGGCATTACAATTGAAGGGAACCATCACCTTTTGTGATACATAATCTGAGCTATTTTAAAATGTTTACAATTATATTGTTATATTTTCCTAATTTCTAATCCATTTTCTTGAAACCCTCTGAGGTTTACTCAATGGAACATTTGGGAAAAACCAAAAGGAAGTGAAACTAACCCTTGTTTTCTTCGGAATCTGAATTTCAATAGAAATGCACATAATGAGAAATACAAATGGGACTAATAATGCAACAGAACAATTAATATTGTTGTAAATGAACTAAATCAAAGCTTATTTTAAATCTCTCCTAATATGTTTTATTATTGCAATTTCATAAACTCAATCATCTATGGAAATTATAGTCAGCTCTTTTTTATTTAATTATTTCTGTTATGTTTTCAACATCACTACTTTTGTTTCTTATTATTAATACGAAGGACAATTTCACAATCTTTAAGTGCAAAGTTAGTCATATTTGTCCAAAATTCAGTTTGTACTCAAACAGACAGCTAGAGGAATAGTAAGAAAAGAGCATTTATTAATAAAAAGATCATTTTGAAAGATACACATAAAGGATTAGTCTTACTCAGAAAAACTATAACGGTACTGCATTGGTGTACAGCTTTTGAATGCTATTTAAAAAAATGAAATGGTTGATTGGTTCTTTTTTTATAGTTATTTCTGCCACTGTTAAATTGTCATTTTTCATTGTATTTAGATGTATTCATGACTAAGCAAATCTGATATTATTTAATAAGATCATAAACTCTTAGTCTGCAAGAGGGAGGAATGTGAGAATCTGCTGGGAAACAGGTTCATGAATACCAGAAGTGTTACATTTGTTACGTTTACAATTACTATGCTTTTTATTTAGCCTTTTATTATAAACTAAGTAAATTGATACATTCTGCATGCAAGGTCTTTACTATATCTAGCATGCAGAAGTGTGAGTCATGTGAAACTCGATGAACAGGAACTTCACACCAGCACGTACATTTTCAGTTTTTATTCATCACACACCCATAGAGGTGAATATACCAATACTGCCCCAATAATAAGTTGCATTTAAATAAAAGACAGAGTTAATTTCTCCAATGTGTTACATTTACAAACCTATAAGGTTACAAAGATTATGTTTTAAACTTCCTTAAAATACCTGATAATGGCTTCTGTTTACAGTGCAATATGAAGTTACTCAAGCTATTGTTTAAGGTTGCATTAAAAGGTGGATATTTGACTAAAATTGGACAGCAACTGCACACTGACTATACGTGCTGCAAAGAAAGATAAAAAGATTAAAATCTAGCAACTTAAGGAAACCTTATCTCATGAGCAAAGGAAAAAACAATTGCCTATCCCAAACAATTCTTCGATTGTGACGGCCAAACACAAAGGCAGTTGAACAACACTGTTTTCACCAACTCTCCTTCAACTGAATAAAGCCATTAGTTCCTTCATTAAATATACTTCTGAAATAGGAGCTTTAAAAATCATACAGAGTAAAAGTGCTTTCAAATATATTAAATTGGTTATTTTATGTTTATTCTTCTGAACTAGTAAAGCAACTGGTCTTGGAACAATTTCTATGACGCGCGTTTCTGGGAAACTGCATCGTCTTTTTACTTCTGAAATCCAAAAGCCTTGACAGAGCAAAAAGAAAAACCCTGTCACGATGAGTCATGCTTATAATAACCTCTAGGAGTATTTGAGAATGTTACCATTCAATCATAATGTTTGTAACATGTCTTCAAGCAATGTTCTTTATCAAGACTACTACTGTAAATATTACAGGCTTTATGTCTTCTATTGCATCCAAAATAATTGCTACCTGCCTCTCTATAGAAAAATAAAATCACTTCTGTACATCCAGCCTATGACTGGAGTGAGAGGTCTGCCATGAAAACAAGACCAACATTTCCATAAACACACAGCTGCGAGGACTAAATGATTTACAGACAGTAAGGGAACATGTCCATGAAACACACACTCACATTCACACACACACTTGCCCACATGCAAATCTGCCACACACACATTTATCTGAAAGACAGGGAGGTACACAGTAATCACAGAACAAGTCACAAGGGAAGTTAAGTTTCGCATTATTCAGACTCCTCCATTTCCTTTGCCAAAAAGAAATGTGACTGAACTTTCCTGTCAAGTTATTAGATGTCAGGTTGCGTGTGTGACCCTTTGAGCCCCTGCCCTTTAGTGACCTCATCACATAACCAAGAAAACATGCCTAAAAAAGAGAAATGACAGAAGAATGATTAAAAATCACATCCACCCAATTTTCCTTTTGGAAAGCATGTAAGTACGACACTACGGATGGAGAAGTACTGAGGTACTGCAGATGTGTTTCAGGAAGAGCTTGGAGTGGAGTCTGCGTTTCCCGGCACATCTCACTTTGAGGAAGCAACAGTACACTGGGGTAATATTACTAAAGCCTGGGAACAACAAAGGACATGGCTGGGTTAAACTATTCTGCTTATCCTGAAGATGTAAGAGAAGCAGAACGTCAGGGCTTCACCTCAGAGGCCGCATCGCATCTGTAACAAAATGCTTGGAGTGAACTTGGCTTCCGGAACTCTTCGGAAATGCTTATTCACAAATATGCCTAAAGTTAGATAAGAAGATCAATACCAATCCCTCGTCTGTCCAATAAAAGAGTGAGCAAAAGCTTTGACACTTAGGCTTAGCTTTGCAACGGGAACAACTAGCCTGATTCTGTCCAAAGGCGACAAAAAAAGGTCTTGTTTTTACACCTTTTTTTTCATACTAAACAACAAAAAATGTAACATGTTAATAAGTGAGATTTCGAGGTGATCTTTTAATCTAACTTTCTGCATGAAAGCAAATAAGTGTACTTTACCGGAATGCCAAAATATTAACTTATTTTATTCAAAGATTCTGTGTGTAATTGTTGGGCCTCTTGCAGGGATGAGAAGTCTCCTGTATGTGCACACGGACAGAAACATTTAACATAAGGGAAGGGTGAAGGTGGACTAAAGCCTCTAGAGGGTTTTCTTTTCTTTTTTTTAAAGTAGAGCTCTTCACATCAACCAGCAAACACTTGCGGTGTCAGCGGGGGGGGCAGGTGCTCATTCTCCACGTTATCAGAGTCGATGGCTGACGCCGCTGAAACAGCCGTCCCACTCGCTGTGGGAGGAGCAGGGGTTTCTGTCTCTGGGGGAAAGCTCTCCAGAACGTTCTGCACCTTCTGCTCCACTTCATCCGTCCAGTCGATGAGGTCGCTCTCCAGCTGGCGGGCGTCCTCCAGGACCCTCTCCTGCCTCTGCCCCAGCCCAGTGAGCAGGTCCAGCCCCTTGTGGACCTGACTGAGAGCGGGGCTGCCCGGGGAGCTGGAGGTCGCTCCGCCCGGCTGTGGCCAGGGGGGGGAGGCCTGGCCCGACATGTAGTGGTCAAACTCCTCAGAGCTCAGGTTCAGAGACTGGCCGTCCAGCTTCTCGATGAAGGCCACCGCACAGCACTGAAGAGAGGGGGGGGGGAGGGGGGGGGGGGGGGTCATTAACCGCAAATCTCACCTCTGGATGTCCTCAGAAATGACCTTTTTTGTATTTTGCCCTTACTGAACAGTTCATGCATCTCTTTTCAAATGAGTGATGAATATGACATACAATGGATACCTAAAAAAATAAAAAAAGTTAAAGACTACACCAGAAAAACAACAGAGCAAAAAGCTGGCCCCCGATCGGAAAGTTAGTCCTATCAGAGACCTTTGTTGCTTTTTTAATCATTTCCTATCATCACTCTTTTGCGTTTATCAATATATATATATATATATATATATATATATATATATATATAAGGTATTTCCATTAGGATTTTTTG